CACGCTACACACCCGCGAGGAGAATCAGATTAGAAAACCGCGCGTTCCCTGCGGACAGAACCGATCCTCCCGTCGCAAATAAACAAGTGGTGGAAAAACGATCAACGCACCCATTCCCTCTCTTCTTACCCTTCGTGCAATCTCGTGGAAATTCCAGGGAAGATTCTCATGTAAATCGCGGACTGTTATCGAACCAACGGAAGTGGCTAAATGACGATCGCCATTATCCTGGGCGAAGGGGTTTCTAGAGATAGACGCTCACAGAGGGAAATAGGTGGCGGCGATGGTGGTAGGGTTGGGGAGTGTGGTTGAAGAGTCTCGAACGAAGAGAGTGGTGGGGGAAAGCGTAGAGAATCGGTGGAGGAGGAAGAGTGGGATCGCGGTTAGCCTCGCTAGCTTGAAAGCTTTCGAATCGTCGACCATTTCGTACGGTTCGCTCCAGGTATTCCCCTTGATACCAGGCTATTCCATTTACCTCGACGACTGAGCCGAATCATAGCGGGGTGAAGAGGGAGAGTGAGGCAGGTGGATGGAAAAAAAATGCCATTGGAATCTGGCAGTCACCGGGAGCTGACCGGTTTCAAACGTCGAATAAACTATTTGTCTGTTTTCCAACTTTTCCCGGGGGAAATCTAATGCGATGTTCGGCCGGTACGTGAATGTACGTAGAGGGCGCTGTTCGTTTTTTAACGATGCCATATAGCTACATAGAGAGGCACGCGCGAAATGACGACCACGAGGAGGGATGTTTTTTTTTCCACGTGAACACAGCCATGGCTGGCAGTGGTGTTCTTGCCGGTGGGGTGGTCTGTCGTCGACGTTCGCGCGGGTTTTTAGAGGCTTGGAGTGGGCCGTTTCAAAGGTGGTTATCCGGGGGGATAGGTTATTGTTATTAACCTCTTGGTCTGGCCTGGATTCGACAGTATGCCGGTGCAGGTTATTTAAAGCTAGGAGGACCGGTCGAGTCGAAATGACTCATTAGCAACATTTTTAGAGAAACTGAATTTTCGAGAATGACAACTACAGTGTGACTCGTAAGTCACTGTACCATAAATTGAATAACTCTTTTGTTTTTTAATTATTCGTATGTATCTTTTACATGTAACTTTTCGACTTTATTTTCTGCACGTTTTTAAAATGTTCTCCTTTGAAAAGATGCTACCTGGTCTTAATTTCTCTCTCAACGACTCCATTATGCGGAAAAATACAGTCAATGAAAAGCGATTGAAATTTAAATGGCGCGTGGAGTAAGTTAATGGAAATGCTGTCTGATTTATGGACTCATTCAGTGAACAGTATTCTGTGTTAATTTTATTGATTTATGCGATTGGTTTGGGGTCAGAGACACTCGGCAGCAAGAAACTGGTGCCGCTTCTTGCCCGTGGAATACATTACGACAATGGATAACCGAAGAAATTAATTCGCAATAGGAGTCACCGGATAATGAAGCAAATTCGCGTCTCCGTTTTACCGAAGCCTCGTTAACCAAAATATAATTCTATGCAAAAAAATCACCGTCTGAAAAGAGAGTATACACACAACGATCCACCGTAGAAACAGATAATTCCCAAACAGAGGAAAAAAAAACAAGAAAAAAGAAAGACCGAACAATGAACATTTTTACAAGCTCCAGTTCATCAGGAAATATTTTCATTCGGTGAGCTTCCGTTAACGAAGCTCAAGATTATTAAGCTCAAACGTTGTCCGGACAAAAGAGCCTCGCGTTCGGCTTTTCATCGACCACCCGTTCCGCGTCGGCAATCGCGAGAACAGGAACAAAAAAAGAAACAAAGATGAGGAAAATAAAAACAAAACCCTGTGTGTGTATGTCTCTTGCGAAGCTTTTTAAACCGAAACAAAGAAAAAGAAGAGAAGAAAAAAGAGAGAGAAGTAAAAGGGGTAACCACGGAAGAACGGTATAACGAGGGACAATTCCTTGGGGCCGTTGAAAATCGTAAGAACAGAAACTCTCTCTCGCTCTCTCCTTGTCGCGCGAAAGTTTACCTCGTTACCGTATTCCGCCGCTTGGCGCCGCTAGCTGTACGCGAAAGAAACGAAGAATAAAATGGGGGAGAGAGAGAGAGAGAAAAGTGGATGAACGTGTCGTGCTCGACGATAAATTCGTTCCGTGGTTTGCGATTAAAATGACGAAGCGACGAGAGATATAATGGAGGCCTCGATAAAAATGAACCTCTCGCGGACGCGACATTTTTCACGAAGAAACGCAAAAAAGGGGGAAAAAATTAGAAAAAAAAAGAAAACAAAGAACCAAGCACACACACGGGCACGAAGGGCAAGAACACAGTACGCGTGCGTGTGCGATGGTAGAGAAAAATAGAATGTGGCGGTACGAGAGGCGAAAGAAACGCGAGCCGATGGGCCGGTGAACTTCGATCGCTCGCATATATCGCTAATTAAAATCTGTCGCCTGGTGCATGACCATTCGAGGGTGAGAAAAAAATAGAGGGAGGGGGGAAAGTGGAAGGGGTGGCGTGGATTGAAGGGTGTGTGTCCGGCGTCATCGAAAACGGGGAAAATGGCGGCGTAAAGAGGGAGGTGGGTTGGCTAGGGTGCAAGGAACGGGGCGAAAACGTCGAAAACCCGCTAACGAGAGGATTCGTTATATCGGACGGAGGCGGAATATAAAGAATCGTCGTTATCGCGCCTCCGACGTGATACAAACGGTCAGTATTTTAATTGAGTTTCGCGCGTCCACCTCCGTGGATGCAAACGCCGCGTATCTGTCGGTTATTAGGAGGCGCTTTTTTATGTAGTACCTTTTTCGACAGTCGAAGGTGCCGATCGTTGGTATTTTAATGCGACTCTGCGTCGTATATGATTCTTATGAGTTTGTCTAATTTATTTAGACGGTTTAAATAAGGTAGATGTTAGATGTTCTGAGCAAGTTAGACGTTCTTTACAAGTGAAACACCCTGTAGATCTCCGAATTTATCCATTCGGAAAAATCATATGCGACGCAAAGTTGCATTGAAATACTGATCGCAGCTTCCAACTAACATCTGAGTAAATTAGATGTTCTTTACAAGTGAAACACCCAGTATACTTTCTGATTGATATGCTTTTCGTCAGAGCTTTCTATTCCCCTTTATTTATTTTTCACGAATAAAAAATTTTTAGAAGATTGTTTTCTAACTGTTTCCGATCAGCAACTACTCCAACACTACAACCACGTGCAAAAAGAAGAAATTTCTCATTCTCCTCTATGCCTCACGAATAAAAAGGGAATCTTTCCTAACCTCTAATAAAAAAAATTCTTCAAAAATTGTTCTCTGACTATTTTCCATTAGTAACCACTCCAGCGCTACAAAACACCATAACCGCTCGGAAAAGAAAATAAACACAGACCCAACAAGCTCCATTCAGACGAAAATTCTCATTCGCATCTGTGTCTCTGCGAGACAGCATCGAATGTAATCTCTTTATACACCTCGAATATCCCATCTACCATCTGTACACTCGTCCATCATCGAACAATCAACGAGTCAGCTGTTCCACTAGATGACGAACCGCGAAATAAATCGAGCAAGTACCACTGACCAACGCAGACCGTACGTACGAAACGGTCCGGTACGGTACGAAATGGTACCTATCGGATCAATGGAGAACGAGGAGGGCGGAAACGAGGCAGGTAGGCGATCGCGAAAGCTCATTAGGAGCGATCGTGGGGAGAAGCAACGACGGGCTCAGGAGTTGTCCAGACCCGATTGGTTTCTACGTGTGTGCGGTGGACGAGTGGGCCAATCCCGAGCGCAGGATGTCGGGCTGTCACAGCTGCGAATGTCAGGTGAACGGTGTCGCGCGAACGGCCAAAGTCAAGCGCACCTGGCTCGTTTATTCCGGTAATTTATACGACACCTCGTCACTTACGCCGACCAACACTGGTCCACCGTGAAATCGATACATCCTTTCGGCCCCTCTGTACAGCCTAACCGCAATACCGAGCTACGGTACACCGGGGGGGATCTCTTCGCGCTTGTTTCGAGGCGCTGGAGGATCCTCCGGGACATATGGCGAATTGCTGTTCTTTTGATACTTGGAGGTTCGATTCTGCGTAGCTCTGGCTGGAAATTCCATTTTCTTGGAGTAGGGGATTTCGAGAGAGATTGATAGTGGGAATTTTGAGATATGTATGACTTAGGGATGCTGGAGGACGATCGATTTTGAGAGCGTTTGCTTTGGTATTTGAAAGTGTAATTCTCTGTATCTTTGGCTAATTAAAAATTCAATTATTTTCGAGTATGGGATTTAAAGAAAGATTGACAGTGGGAATTTTGAGATTTGAGACTTAGGGATGCTGGAGGACGTTCGATTTGAGAGCGTTTGCTTTGGTATTTGAAAGTGTAATTTTCTGTATCTTTGGCTAATTAAAAATTCAATTATTTTCGAGTATGGGATTTAAAGAATAATGGATAGTGGGAATTTTGA